CAGATCCACTCGCGGTGGACTGCAAGACGATCGTGTGAATTGTGAAACGGCCCCAATTTACACCCAACCAAGGTTATAATAAACTAGTTTTTTTTATCGTCTCCGTTAATGCATAGGTCTGCTCAGTTCTCTGGTCAAAAGAACACCGGGAGTTAGTGTCAGCGCACGGATTTGCTCAGAATCAACTCATCATCTGGAAGTATCCGACCATGAACAGAATATCTGAGCTGCTCGGTAAGCTTGAGGTTATCCTCTAGTAGTCTGGTTCCCCTTTTGATCCCTTGACATTTCTGAACAAGTCATAGGTCTGTTCGCCTTCACATTACAAAACTGGAATATGATATAGCAAAGGCCTTAATGGCTTTAAATACAGATACTGGGAATTATTTCCCCCCCCCCCCCCACCCCCAACGACATCAAATTTAGCAAACGTGAGGTTCAGTTTAGTGATTTCAAAATTGTTAACACCGATACATGGCAGGTATATTGCTGATGTACGACATATTTTGCTGGTATATGCAACCATTTTACATCTAAAAACACCAGAGCCATCACAAATGTATACATGTAAATGTGTTATAAACAGAGGTTTTCAAAGATTTCTAAAACGAAAAAAAATCCTGCCCGTTTTCAAAGTCAACCCCTGGCTCCGAGTGGCTGGCCATGGGGTCACACACAATTTGCATTGCTCAGATATATCAGACGTTGGTTATAGAGAGAGCCCTGTAGGTCTCCCTCAAATGACGTCATTTCCTACGACCAGCCACGTGCATCGGCACATTGAGCATCAGCTGCGTCGTATTTCGAACACATTTCGAGCAACAAGCGGGCTTATGTGGAACATTTTCAACACTGCGCAATGCATGCTTGATTGCGTAAATACGCAGTTGCAGTTCTCCTACAGAGATGTGCAAAACAAAACCATAAACTACCTACAAAATGACAGTACACAGACAACAGTTGGGTAAAAAAAGGGGGCATTTTAATTTCAACTTAAAGACATCTATATTGACTTTGCTTTTTTCTTGTTCAATTTTTTCTGTTACGAAACCTAACAGGTCACACGTCGCGCATTCTGCACATGTGCATGAGTCCAGACGGCACCACAGTAGCCACAGCCGCCGGGGACGAGACGCTGCGATTGTGGAAATGCTTCCAGGTGGATCAGCAGCAGAAGACGGCCAAGAAGGGAAGCACGCAGAAAGCCTCGTCCGGTACCCTCAAGCTCAGGCAAAGCATTCGATAGATCTGTCTGATGCACTGAGGTGTTCGGTCGCAGGAGTGTATAGATCCGTCTCTCGAACTTTTTCAAAATATAGAGCTGTACACATGTAAATAAATTTGCAATGTACAAAGGTATGATTCATGTACAGCCTTAGCGCAGTTTGCTAGCTCAAGACCAGTACACCAGATTCTATCTAACATGCCAGCAGCTTATGTCATGAAACAGTGCGTAACTTACGCCATGCATAGGACTTACGCCATAAATTTATTGTGCGACTGGCACCAACCGCACAATAAAGTTATGATCGATTTCACGAAATTTGGAGTAGCTGCGCAACGTTTTAAATCATTTAAACATCTTGGACGAGAATATAACAGCATTTACAACGGTTTGTGTATGATTTGGAAACAATCGTTGAATCATCTCAGCCTGCCATTTTGAAGGAAAACATTTCCAACTTTCATCGGATTCATGCAGTAACTCTAAAAACTTGTCAGTTGTTACAAGTAAAATAGCAAATCATTTACTTCAACAGGGGTGTGAGTGACCACTGATGAAAATAGCTGAAAACAGCTGAAAAAGGTGTAAAAAAGCTGAATTTTGGGAATCTCCTATACTTTTGTACACAGCAAGTGAGGGAAAAAAGCTGAAATCCAAAACAAAAAAAGCTGAAATCAGCTTTAAAGCTGAGATTTCACACCCCTGTTCAAACACAAAGCTGTGAGTACATGTCTTGTATCAACCTTGATAAGTTGTGCAATAACAGACTCCACAACGATCACAATTTGCTGGAGAAATAAGTACTTTTCAGTCACTACGCTACAAGTTGCACCACCTAAAATTATTGCGCAAGTTGCACCATAATTTGTTGCGCAAGTCGTGGACTTGCGCACTAATTAAAAACTTTCAAGAAATTGTCATAACGTGAATGTTGTGCAGCATGAAATTGTGGCTCAAGTAGACTTAGCCATTGCGTAAAGTTTTGTGAAATCAGCAACAGCTCTATGGACTGTGTGCACAAGTACCCCCTCATAGGTAAGAAAGGAAGAGTTGGGGGAGACCACTGGGAGAGACATTCAAGCGCATTTGCGGTGACGCACGACTTCGCACAAAGATGTTACTGGCTTGTGCAAAACTCAGAATAAACTTAGTCGTACTTACTTTGAGACATCAAGCATGAACCAGTATGCACACACAGTGTGTACCTCACACTGGACTTTCAAAAGTGGTCACAAAGCACCATTAAATGTCCGTGCACAGGATCCATAGTGCAAACGTTTACTGGGCCATCCAAGTTGAACAAAGTATGTTGAATAACACATAGCCCCAAGGCCAAAAAAAAAAAAAAGGCGGTCTCTGGTCAGACCGAAGTTCCGGAATTGATGCGGCGACGTGTTTTTGGGGGTTTTTTTTGGGGGGGGTGGCTTTTTTTTTTCAAGCTTGAATTGTACAGACAAGGTGGGTATTATTTTGCTTTTTTGTGTCCTCATTATACACTCCATAATATGCCTTGGTGCCCTTTATCATTTGCCTTGGTGCAATTTTCCCCATTCCTTGGTGCTCCTTGGTACAAAAATTTGAGGAGGTGCAGCAATAGAGGGCACTGTTGTAGCTTCCGTGTTAATTTGAAGGGAAAAAAAAGGTTGACGCGCATGATTAAAATCGACGCGCGTGCTGACCAGAGACCGAGTATTTTTTATTTTTTTTTTGGCCTAACAGTCCTGAATCCTCCAATTTCAATATGATTTTGCACACCCCCTAGTTAATACCAAAATCAAAATCGTTATGCATCACTGAAACTTCCGATGAACCTTCTTAACTGCTTTTGGAATAAAATGACATATATTCGTGTAATTTAATTTTACAGTCCCCAAGCGAAAATACAATGGATAGTTTTATTTCAAATGTACATAGCTATTTAATTTTAATACATTTATCACATACATGTATACTTGCTCTATACAGTGTAATTATTTACACGAAAGTATATAACTCCTAGTTTTATACTTACACAATTTTCTTTGTTTAATTTCCCTTTTGCAAATCAGCAGTTATTTTACAGAATTTTACGCATAACCTTCTCATTTAAATGCTACAAATACTGAAATATGGGATGGCATATTCTTTTTTAAGTTTGCAGCTATGCACATTTTAAACGACAAATTTTGCTTTCTATAAAACTTGCATCAGATACAGTGCATCCGAAACTTTGCTTGTAGGCCAAAGTGCTTTTATTCAAGGTTTTGTACATAAAATACAATATGTTACAGCTTTCCAATAAACCTTTTTTACTTCTTCTTGAAGAACGAATCTTTTCTGAACAAGCCTGTAGGCCTACTGTGTGTATACTCTGTACAGAATATTTTATAATAAATACACTGTGACGTAGTACTGCATAGGTTCTTATGCATATATTAAATCCAGTGGCACAAAACCATGTTTATTCCAAGTTTTGCATGATTGCGTACTTTGTGATTGTTCCCCTACCCCATATACGACAAAGGAATGAACTACAGCTACCTCGCCCATATATGTAAAACCAAAAATACCATGATGCTATTATTTTGCCGTTTTATTACTTTGAATGAGGAGTACATTCAGTTGTTAAACACACAACTGGCACAGAAAATGAAGGGAAAATTGCAAAAGGACTTGGACTTATCGAGTGTTTCAAGTTTTTGGACATGTTATTAAACACCTACTTAACACTTATAGTGAAATCTCGATATTAAAGTCAAAACCTGTTAACTCAAAAACATTCCAACTCAAAAGTAAAACTTATTCCTGTCAATTGTTGTTGAATCGAGAATATATAAAATAAAAACTCGTCTCATCTCAAAATTTGAGCCAATCCTCCTGAGGTGTGATTGGTTTTGGATATTCCACTGTATCGATGGCTTGTCCAACATTGTCGAAACGCTGAATTTGATTTTAAAGGGAATATACAACATTTGTAAACATCGAAAAATAAAACTACCAAGTTTTTGCGAAATACCTTAACAGGATGTTGGTAAATGACAGTCTAAAGCATCCTGTAAAATTATGGCACCTGGTATACTGTCATTTTCAAGAAAAGTGGTATTTTTGTATCAATTTCCAACGCTGATCGGCCGATCAGCGTTGGAAACAACTGGCTTTTTTTCAAATACTGGCCCCAATTGACCATTGCACTTGTTTGCAATCGATTACAAACCTATGAACGGGTACGAGCCAGCTAGACTGGTTCCCTGACCTTACAATTCCCCAATGTATGTAAACTGCTCTGTTTCTTCTTATATGGAGTAAGGGAACCAGACTACAGGAAAATGATCGTTTTTCTTGGTTTTTATAGCATTTTCGAACCCAAAACCTCCAAAAAGTCAGTGTAACTATATTTGCTTTATATTTCCAACCCCCCAATTCCATCCATTTCTGAAAATTACAGCAAAAGCAAATGATGTATATTCCCTTTAAGTTATGAGGACATTAATTAAACATGATCAAGAAAAGTACAAAATTAAAGTATGAATATTTACAAACGTATGGGTAACACTTTACACATTTACATGTACATAATGTCACCCAAAAAATTTAAAGAAAGTGAAACTTTATACACGACTTGCAAAAAAAAAATCTGCTTGAAGTTGAACAACACAGGAACCCGGCTGCTGTGCTGATTTGACGAAAGTTTGCATATCATAGCGCCCTCAAGTGGCATTAAATTTTTTCGGATACTTAGCCTCAATATAACGACAACTTCCATTGGATAAAAAATGAACCACGAAGCATTTTGTACCAATCAGGCGCGGCGTATTATTACAGGTATACCGGCAATTCGCAAGCATCAATCTTGCAACATGGCGATCGACGACGAAAGACTTTTCGAGAACGATCCTCCAGAGGTAAATAATAATCATTCATAATTCTAAATTGCACCACAACCTGTCAGAAAATAGGGTATTACTATGGTTGTGTGGACACATTATTATTATAATATTAATCTTTGCACTGTGGGTGAACTCATGAAGTAATTAACGTTAAGAATCCTTGGCTTTTAGACCAATTTTGGAAACGGACCCGACCTAGCTGGAGTTACCCAGCCCTGAGTTTTATCATTGGGTTGTCATCTAGGGCTGGAGCGCATTTTTCTCAAAACTTGTAGTATTTGCAAAAAAAATTTGGAAAATGTTCAATTTTGTCCCCGTTACACACTAATTGCAACTGCAACTCACCCCAAACTTGCCTGGAATAACGGAAACAGGTCAACTCGTACGCGAACCAACTCGTACGCGAGTCAACTCGTACGCGGATTGGTCAACTCGTACGCGAGACAACTCGTACGCGAGCCAACTCGTACGCGTGCCAACTCGTACGCGAGCCAACTCGTACGCGAGCCAACTCGTACGCGAACCAACTCGTACGCGGGCCATTTTAGGAGTGGTTTCGAGGATTGGGTTGGCATGGTTGGGAAGAATTTGGGAATAGTGTGACGGGTAGTCCGTAGTTCAATGTGTGACCGTTGTGTGTGATTGGGAGTGAGAGAATAGACAATTGCACTAACTGAAAACACAATCGGTCCTTTTCAGGGCCACCACGCATTTGCAGTGATATTAAATAAAATTCATTTTTTTTAAAATAAATCAAATTCACCTCCCCATTGTTTTATTTTACAAAATATAATTTGGAGACATAATAATTAGGACTAAAAATTATCGGACCAAAGCTAAAAATTAATTTTCGGATCCAAGAAAAAAAATTATTTTTAGGGCAACCTCGAATTTCTGGTGAAATTAAATAAAATTCTACTTTTAAAAAATCAATGAAATTCACCTCCCCATTGTTTTAATTTACAAAATATAATTTGGATACATAATAATTAGGACTAAAAAATTATCGGACCCAAGCAAAAAATTAATTTTCTGACCCAAGAAAATCGCATTTGACCCAAGAAACCTCGCATTTCCGGTGAAATTATATAAATTCTGATTTTAACAAAAAATGAAAAAATCAACTCCCCATTTTTTCTTTTTTTACAAAATATTATTTGGATATATAATAATTAGGACTAAAAAACTATCTGAACCAAGCAAAAAACTGGCGGACACTGTCCGTACAACTGTATAAGCATGCGTGATGCTATATTCCTTTTTTTTTTTTATAGTAGCTCCTTTTTATACAATAGACCTCGCAAATATCGGTGTTTTCTTGTCATTTTACTTGTCTAACCAACCAGCAATTGTACCGCGGCATACACAGGTTACAGTGATTCAATCATGCATTCTTTATACACAGTGCGCGGTGCGGCGGGAACCAATCATACTGGTTATCGCGAAGACAACTTCCCAATCAATCAAGCGAACTTGTAAAAAAAAAAAAAAAACGCAGCATTCTTCTACTGTAAGTAGCACTGGCGGATTTAAAAATCAACTACATTTAATTTGAAAATCTCCACCTTTCAGAAAAGGTAAAATTATGCCGACCTACCGTACCGAACCTAATTTCATCTGTCCATGTGAGCTAAACCAATCGTCTAAACTCACGCGTACGAGTTGGTCCGCGTACGAGTTGGTCCGCGTACGAGTCGGTCCGCGTACGAGTCGGTCCGCGTACGAGTCGGTTCGCGTACGAATTGACCCGCGTACGAGTTGGTCGCGTACGAGTTGGTTCGCGTACGAGTTGACCTGTATTCGGAATAACCATTACACAGGTCCTTGAACGATCCACGATGAAGATTCAGCCTACAATTGCAGTGAAAACAGGAGGAATAACCACTAACTTGACAACCTTGCTGGATTGGCCAGGACCGCTATTGGTTTGTGCACAAAAAAAATTGTGTACAATGAATGGCGGTCGATTAACAGGCACAGAGAGCGATCGCTGTCAACTACTCGTTTTTGCCGGCTGCGCTGGCTGTTGGCGCATGACGTCACGCGGAAGCGTAACACCCGATGACTGTTTTGTGCACTAGTATAAGGTTTACCACTCGCATCACAGCTTTGGTACTGGAACCGCAACCAATAGTGCATGAAACAGTCATCGGGTGTTACGCTTCCGCGTGATGTCATGCGCCAACAGCCAGCGCAGCCGGCAAAAACGAGTAGTTGACAGCGATCGCTCTCTGTGCCTGTTAATCGACCGCCATTCATTGTACACAATTTTTTTTGTGCACAAACCAATAGCGGTCCTGGCCAATCCAGCAAGGTTGTCAAGTTAGCGGTTATTCCTCCTGTTTTCACTGCAATTGTAGGCTGAATCTTCATCGTGGATCGTTTTTTTACTTCAAGGACCTGTGTAATGGTTATTCCAGGCAAGTTTGGGGTGAGTTGCAGTTGCAATTAGTGTGTAACGGGGACAAAATTGAACATTTTCCAAATTTTTTTTGCAAATACTACAAGTTTTGAGAAAAATGCGCTCCAGCCCTAGATGACAACCCAATGATAAAACTCAGGGCTGGGTAACTCCAGCTAGACCCGACCCGCAACCCACTGCCTGAAGCGCCCCATCAGTGCTCAGTCACAAATTTTGCCTGTTGCCACATGCACAGCACAGGCACAGACAATGCCAGGTCAACTCGTACCCTGCAAGGTCAACCGTGTTAACTCGGACCCTTACCCCAAAGTGGTGCTCAGGTCAACAATGGTCAACTCGTACCTTTTTTTAAAAAGAAGCAAACCTTTTGCTTTTTGGGGATCCCCTTCCATCATCTCTAATTTAAAAAATATTGAGGCTGTTGTGCCCATTCTTGAAAATCACGCAATCTTAAGAATGTGCGCGCATTCTTAAGAATGAGCGCCCATTCTTAAGAACGAGCACGCGTTCTTAAGAATGAGCGCTCATTCTTAAGATTGGGTGGGAATATCACGTGCACAATTTATGAATTTTGCCCAATCTTAACAAACATTGCACGACATAATTATGTTAAATGAATTGTATAGCGGTTAAAAGGGAAACAATTCATATAAAGAGGAAAGAAAATGTTCTATGGTTCTGTACTCGTATAACTACGATAATTTGAATCAAATTAAACCTGTTATTATTACTTGGAAAAAATTCCGTACTCGGACGTCACTTTTTTCAATTAATTTTCTAGCGCCAAAAGTTACATCTTTTATGGTTATTCCTCCACTTTCCCTCCTCTACTCTCACCCTCTCCTTTCCTTAATTTCTATTTATTAATCAGTCAGTTACTTCATCGGGATTCGAACCTCTGACGCTTGCTTGACACACGAGACTCTTAACCGCTAGGCCGCGCACGATCGCTGTTGCAATAATCAATCTTTGGACGTATTTGAAGTATCCATTGAAATAAACTAAATATTCATGAGAAAATAAATATTCATAATGACGTATTGCACTATCATTGGCAGGCTCATGCGACGTCATGGTTGTTGATGTCACGTGTATAACGTACCGCTGTCTTTCAGCCACTACAATCAGTTTTGACCGGCTGCTTCAAGTTAGTTTTGCACGACGTCTGCATCCAAAATGTGCTCTAAAAACACATTTTGAGTAATTTTTTTTCACCTTAACACAGCTTCCTGGATTTCTCTTGGTTCAAATGACAAGGTGAGGTGACAATTAATATGTTTGGCAGCAGATAAATTGACGTCCGAGTATGGACATTTTCCCTATTACTTTTTTCTGCCCACTATGGGAACTTTTGTAATAACTAGCATGACTAGACAAGTTTAAGTTTAGGCTAGCCAAGTTACAAGTCCCTGTATGTATCATATGCATGCCACGAAAAAAAAAACGATGTCCAGAAGCTGCCAAAATTGCTCTTTTGACTAGATAGAATCCAGCTCTGCGACGTAATGGTGGGGTGTGAACAATAAATTGGTGGCAATTTAAATGGGAAATAGCATTAGCACAATGGGATGTCGCAGTATTCATTCTCATTCTTCACATTCTTCATTCTTACGTCCCCCCCCCCCCCCTGCTTTTATTATCCCAAAAATCAGAATTCTTTCCACTAGTATTATTATGTCTCTTATTTTTTCCCGGTCCCCCCCCCCCCCATATCAATACGCCTATACTTATCATATCCACTCTACTTTTCAGCGCCTTGCGTTGCAACAGTATAATTATTGAGAATCAGTGAACGAGGATGCAGCTAGACTTGCCAAGCGCAGCCGGTGCTCGGTATCGACAAGACCGTTATCTTGTCGCGCATTCTTAAGAATGTGCGCTCAATCTGGAAGAATTATTTTTTGCGAAGATTGCGCAAGGATCCAGTTGCACATTCTTAAGAATGTGCATGCACATTCTTAAGAATGCGTGATTTTCAAGAATGGGCACAACAAGCCCAAAGTGTATAAATATATTTTGTAAAACCAGTTCAAATTTCTTAATATCTAAAACTACATGTATGTATTTATGCCTTGTCACTTAATGAAATGAGATGTGGTAAAAATATTAATAAAGAAGAAGAAAGAAATGAAACTTGTGGGGAAAAAATTCCGTACTGGGCCACCACTTTTTGCAATTAATTTTCAAGCACCAAAAAGTTGCATCCTTTGAAAGTTTAATATGGTAGCCCGACTACATCTGGCCGTACAGTACTTACTATATTGCAAGCCCTGTAGTAGTCCGAGTAACTTGGACCCAACTTACATGACTTAGGCCCTATCGCCTTTTTTAACATTCGGACATGGTCTGGCGATAGGGTCCAAGCTAATTCGTATATGCCGAGCAACACAATTCTGTCATTGACCCAAAAACCCAACATTGCCCAACAAAAACATCAGATTTCACCCTCAAAACGGCCTCCAAATTACTAGATACGCCACCTGAGGTACTAGTACTAGTAGACATCGATGATTAAGATGGTTGTACTGAAGTTTAGGCCTACATAGTTATGATCCAGATGAAAAATGAAATTTCCCGTTCAATTCCAAGAGCTCCCCTTGCGATCGTGAACACGTTAAATATGCGACTCGTGTTTGAATTGCGATGTGGTCATCATGCCCAGCGTTCATTCGATGGTCCCCGTATCCCGAGTGCGATTCCGTTACCGAGCGCGCGCAATGCATCGATTATGATAATGAGTCGACTTGATCTCGTTTGTAAACACAAGTGCATTTCGAACGATAATAGGGAGTTGGGAACTAGGGCAGTTTATGGATGGAAACCAGTTCAAGCTAGTTCCCGACTCCCTTTTATTATTTTAGTGGAACAAATGTGGGACCGGTTCGCGGTTCTTTGAACACTTCGGGAACAGTAAGATATGATTTATGACATGAAAGTAAACTATTAAAAAAGAAAATCTCTGAACCTCCGGTACTTTCAGAATTGTAGTCCAACATTTACTAAGTTGAGCTACCAAAGTGCTCTAGAGGGCGTCCTGAAAATAATGGTGCATGTAAACCCCGCCATTTTCACCAATTTACAACCAGAATTTACTGCAAATGTCTACACGATCTTCAAGGTTACAGATTTAGCTTGAGAATACCATTTGTTTAATTAAGATTGCCTTTGTAAATTGATTGAAATGTGTTTGAATATCTGCAAAGCTAAGCCAGAAAAGTTCTGTGCCACTTTTAGGAAGCGAGTGCTTCAAAGATCAGACAATGCCAGTATGGCTCTTTTGATAAGATTATCCCAATGGGTGTAAGACAAACATTCCATTTACACGACAATAGGGTTTTGTTCTTATGTTGAAACAATTTAATAGTACAGACCGGTTCACTTCTTTAAAACTTCAATAAAAGGGTTCAATTAAATATAAATAAATATGGCCAACAAAAAAAGTCTCCGGTTTCTGGTATGTGCGCGCGTCGCCGTAGCCATGCGCGTCAGCAAAATGAAAACTTTTTTTTTTTCAATGAATGATGATGTCTCAAAACCGCCAAACTCACTGGTTTGACTGGAATCCTGCTGCTGCACAATTTTAACGTGTTTTTAGATGGGGTTACGATCGAGAATAAGCTTTATGTGGCCTCTCTAGACTCCTATATATTTGCACTAAGTTTAGTCGGGCACCATTTGCAGTCATCTGCCGACATTTGAAGAAAAAAAAACGGTAAAAAAAAAAAAAAAAAAAATGCGACGCCGCACCACTTTTTGGGCAAGCTCCATACCAGAAACTGGAGACTTTTTGGGGGGGCCTATTGCACACTCTGCTTATTTATGTTAAAGGGAAAATACAACATTTGCAAACATCAAAAAATTAAACTACCAAATCATTTTGAAATACCTTGCTGGACTGTTAGTGAATGACAGTGTAAAGCATCCTGTAAAATCATGGCACCTGGTATACTGTCATTTTCAAGAAAAGTGGTATTTTTGTATCAATTTTCAATGCTGGTCGGCCGACCAGCGTTGGAAAAAACTGGCTTTTTTCAAATACCGGCCCCAATTGACCATCGCACTTGTTTGCAATCGATTACACACCTATGAACGGGTACAAGCCAGCTAGACTGGTTCCCTGACCTTACAATTCCCCAATGTATGTAAAATGCTCTGCTTCTTCTTATATGGAGTCAGGGAACCAGACTACAGGAAAATGATTGTTTTGCTTGGTTTTTATAGCATTTTCGAACCCAAAACCTCAAAAAAGTCAGTGTAACTATATTTGCTATATATTTCTAACCCCCAATTCCATCCATTTCTGAAAATTACAGCAAAAGCAAATGATGTATATTCCCTTTAAAATCACTAACAGTAAAGTGATGTTGTTTTAGAATAGGACTATACTGATTTTAACTGCTTCACAGAAAATGGCACAAAATGAGTTTCTTGGCTTTGCCGTTTTTCAAACATATCTTTGGATTTACAAAAGCAATCTCAATGAAACAAACGGTATTCTCAAGCTAAATCTATTACCTTGAAGATGGTGTAAAAGTCCGGTTGTTAATGTGACATATGGTTTGTTTGGGGGGGGGGGGGTTTTGGGGGGGGTGCCATAATGATGGCCACTGAAAATAATAGCCACTACGTTTCATAAAACGATTGCTCTTAAAGGGAATATACATGATTGGCTTTTGCTGTAATTTTCAGAAATGAACTATTTGAGGGGTTAGTATAATAGATCAAATATTGTTAGACTGACATGTTTGAAGGTTTGTGTTCGAAGAAAAACAAACATGTTCAAGTAGTCTGGTTCCCTGACTCCACTAAATATAAAATGGATCAATTTACATATGCCGGAAACTTGTACGGTAATGGAACCAGTCTAGCCGGCCTGCACTCGTTCATGAACATGTAACCAATAGCAAACAAAATTTGGACTGAAAGAAAAAGGGTTAATTTGGAGCAGTAGTTGAAAAATAGTTAGGTTTTTCCAACGGTGGTCGGCCGACCACCGTTGGAAATTTTTACAAAAATACCATTTTCTTGAAAATGACTTCACACCAGGTGCCATAATTGTACAGGATGCTTTAGACTGTCATTTACCAACATCCTAGTAAGGTATTTCGTAAAAACTAGGTAGTTATATTTTTCGATGTTTGCAAATGTTGTATATTCCCTTTAAAATATCTGGATACATGGCTTGTTTTGTCTCGGTCACATTGTCAGGAAGAAGAAGAGGAGGAGGAAGAAGATGAAGAGGACATAGTGGTAAGAAACGATCCCTGAAATAATTACTAAACCATCAAAAATCATTAGGCCTATTTTCAATAAGTTAAGCTAGCTGACAATTGGCCATTGCTGGATTCCATTTTGTAACCGTTACTTTCGTAGAGGCACTTTCTGATTGTCTGATATCTAATTGTCATATTGGCTGCACCAGCTTTTTTGAAGCTACAGTCTTACAGTCTTACAGCTATCCAAAAGTAACTGACGTAATTATTGTTGAAAATATTGGTTGAAAGTTGGAATTATTGGTTGAAAGATAGTAAGGGGACTAAACTCCCTGTGAAATTATTCTTTCTGGCAAGCTGTCATTTTGAAGAAACCAATTAAAGAAGGCCTTTCCAACGAAGAGTCTAAAGATGCATCGTTGGGAAATTTCCGTTAGTAGTTCGCTTTTTTATTAGGCGAAGCGCACGCATGCGTTGACATGACGCACAAGTGCGCAGTTGCTATAGTTCGTCAGATCAGTGCGTGACATCGCGTAGCTGCAATTTGATCAGTGAACGTGTCTCGGATGCTGAATTCAGGCCCAATTCAAAACATGATTCAGCAACTTTTGATTTGAAATCGAGATCCTAGAATGTTGTTTTTCTTGAGAAATGCAGCTGAAGCTAAGCTGAAACTTCACCAGATTGGTTGTTCAGCATCCTTCTTCAGATATTGAGCACTTTTGTTGCTTCAAACGAACAAAAGGCACAATTTACAAATAATGGACTATACCTTTAACAACCAACCTGATGCAGTTTCAGCTCAGTAAAGGCTGTATAGGAAAGATTTCCATATAAGAAGTTCACTCAACACCCTGTGTACGAACCCTATGAGAGTGGACTGAAAAATTCTAAGTGTTTTCTAAGAAAATGCTTGTATTTTCTCACTGCTCAAATTGACTTTGATGACATGAAATTGCTATCTGGGGGCTTGTTAGTCAATGCAGAGGAAAATTAGTGAACTTCTTGTATGGAAATCTTTCCGGCTGTATATACCGAGAAAAAACAATACATTGTATTTTAGGTTCACGATTTTAAATCACAAGTTGCCGCGTCTGGAAAACGTCATTCAGCCAATTGCAGCTACGAATAATTTCACAGGGACTTTATAAATGTACCATCTTTAAACTAAGTAAGCTTTTCAACAGTAGTTTCGTCAGTTACGTTTTGGATAGCTGCAGATGATGGACTGTAGCTTTAACTGTGGGGTGCTGTGGTCCAATGGTTATGGTGTTAGACTCGTGTGCCGTGGTACATGGGTTCGAATCCTGACCGTGGGAACATGGTGCTTGTGCTCTTGAGCAAGGCACTTTACCATTATTGCTTCATCCTTCGGATGGGATGTTAAGCCGTAGGTCCTGTGTGTTGTGTAATACACGTTAAAGAACCCAGTAACACTTATCGCTAAGAGAAGGGGTTTGCCCCAGTGTTTCTGGCAGTGGCTGCAATATGCACCGCAGCACCTTGTAAACCCTTATAAGGTGCTACATAATGGGTCTCATATTTCTCATAAACTTTATTTACCTTTCTTTAATAATAGACATATCTCCAGCGCCTTGAGTACCTAATAGTTGGTAGATATGTGCGCTATATAAGACTCCGATATTATTATTTTTATTTTTATTAACTGTAATCCATCCCACTGATTCACCTTTTGTAGGATCCTCGGGATGAGATCTTGGAAAATTGCCGGGAAGACAGCCACTGCGCCGGTTTCAAGCAGGAATTTGAGGTGTGCCAGGAGCGGGTGACCAGCCGCAGCAATACCGAGGAGACGTGCACCCAAGAGCTGTTTGACTTCCTGCACTGCGTCGACCACTGTGTGAGTGTACATAAAGACTCCGCGCGCAAACACTAGAGGGCGCCTGGTGACCGTTTTCGGGAGCCAAAGTTGGAGGGACACGCCATGCGTGCACCGGTTCCCGCTTATTGATTGATGCTCAACTAATTTTTTTCTGAATGTGCACAACCTTTTTGCGTCTTAGAATAAGAGTTGTGTCATCGGCAACTCGTTTAAATTTTCCTCCCGGTGGTCTCCCCCAACTCTCTTTCTTAAAGATATAGTTCATCATTTGTAATTTGTGCATTTTGTTCGTTTGAAGCAACAAAAGTGTTAAAATCTAATGAAGGATACTGAACAACTAACCTGATGAAGTTTCAGCTCAGCTTCAGCTGTATATTCCGAGAAAAACAGCATTCTAGGATCTCAATTTCAAATCAAAGTTGCTGAATCATGTTTTGAATTGGGCCTGAATTCAGCGTCCGAGACACGTTCTCACTGAGCCGATTGCAGCTATACGCGATGTCGCGCACTGATCCGACGAATTATAGCAACCGCGTGTGTGTCGTGCCAATGCTTGCGCGCGCTTCGCCGAATAACAAAACGAACTACTAATTTAAATTTTCCTACGGTGCGCAGGCTGACGGTGCGTCTTAAGAGGCACCGTTGGAAAGGCCTTCTTTTGTTGATTACTTCAAAATGACAGCTTGCCAGAAAGAATAATTTCACAGGGAGTTTAGTCCACTTACTATCTTTCAACCAAGTATGTTTTTCAACAATTATTACGCCAGTTACTTTTCGGATTGCTGCAAATGATGGACTATAGCTTTAAGCTGTGGCAGGAGCTTCTATATGTCACCTTTCGGTCTGTCTGTCTGTCCGTCCCAAAAAATTGACCGAAAAATATTTGACCAAAAATAATTGACTAATTGACCAAATGCCATACCCGTGGTCTTAAAATGCACTCTTGATGAAAATTTTTGGAACACTTGTTTTGTTTCAGTCGATGCACATGCACGGATATTTTGCATATACCTGCCCTGAAAATGGACCAAAATTAGCCCCATAAGTTTCCCACAAAATGCAACTACCAAATCGAAAAGTTCACAACAGAATAAATCTAATACTTAAACAAAAATTGTTTGTAGCAATTCAGAAAGATGTTTATGAAAAGTTTTTAAATGGAGGCAAAATATGTGCAGTCATGTTATAGTCAAGTGGTATTTTGTGTAGCGGTTGGAAATGTCCCCAAAATTGGCCAAAAGTATGATGTTCCATACGTGCCATCGGCGTCACATTTTTTGCCAGGGCCAATTGTGCACTTGCACGTGTTTTTCTCTAGATAACCAAAAGAAAAAGGAAAAAACCCACTTATGCTTGATTTTTTTATATTAATGTTTTGGGAAATTGTAAATTTATAGTTGCTGTTTCAGAAAAATTAAAAACCTCACACTGGTCAGTGGTCAGTTCACCCCCGAAATGACTTTCACACACCCTTTGTGTATTAACAACTATCGTCACTTTGTCCTGGTTACATGATAGCAGGTTTAAAGATTTTGTCCCTGTGTAGCGCCCAAAACCACCCTGCCTTCTTCTCACTGTAGCGCCCGAAACTATCCGAGTGCTCTATTAGGCCATCAGCCTTGGTCCACAATTTTGGCCACCGGTATCAAATGAGGGGAATAATCGTCATAGCGATTTCTGGCAAGGTATACACCTCCAGAGTTGGAAAATATGTGATAGCATTGCAGCGGTGGCAGCTTTTTGGGTGTTATCACCTTTTGTTTCAAAATGACCATCGAAATGCTTGTTACCACTCTAGGGGCGGTATACCTTGCACATGCACACTATTATCATTTATACCCTGATTTGATACTGGCCAAACCCCCAGGCTGATTGCCTATATGCTTTTATTGATCTTTTACTGAATAAAGACGGAGTAATGCAAGGAATTACAGGTGCTAACGGGTTTTAATCTATTATTATTACTTTTTTTTTTTTTTTCAGGCTTCTGAAAAGATCTTCAAGCATGTGAAATGACGTGAACATCTAGGCTACTGTTACTTCAATTGATCCCCATACTCCCAGTGTACTCTTCATCCCGAATGCGCACACACACACACACAGCAGGGTTCCAGGCACTTTATTCTACGACGCATCCACCAAATCTCACTGCATGACATGTAGAGATTTCTTTTTCTAAAGATTTGTCAGTGTTGGAAAAATACAGATGTCTTTACAGGACCCAATTGCTAAGTGCATTTATGTTCTAAGCAAAAATCCCCAGAAAAAAATGAAACGTTCCGTGTAGGCTTTTAATTGGTACATTCATTTGCAATTGTTCTGTGCTTAGTGGTATTCTGTGCTCAGCAGCTTGGTGGAATAAGCTCCAACGGCTCCGCTCAAAACACAAACTCTTGTCTTTTCCACAACAAAATTGTGATTGTTGAGAACAATAGGAAACATGATCCAGATGTTGTCGCATTGGAACTCCGATTCATTTTTTTAAATACTCTAATATTCTTCAGAATTAATCTTTGAAACATTTGGTAGTAAACAACTTAATATTTTGTTGATCAGTTTATTAGTTCAATTAATAGAAAAAAAACCTGTGCTGTTGATATTCTGTATAAACATTACACACTGTGCTTTGATTGGCTTTTGTCTCCCTAAATGTGGGATAGACAAAAAATCTTTACACAAACTTGAATGATCATTTGTCACAAAGGGAATTTAACTGCATACAGTGGAACGTTGCTATAACCAACATCGCGGGATCCACAGAAATTGTTTGGAATAGCGATCGTTCGGTATAGCGATTTTAAGCTACCAGTGCTCCGGTACTCATTTTTCAATAAATAGTGCCCTTCAGAACTTCACCCTGCATGCCCTGGTAGTTACTGAAAGACGACTTTGAGCACGTGCCGACTATTGAATTATGTAATGACAGAGTTTTTGAGCTTACTACCTACAGCAATGGGTGGCTATCCCCTCCTATTCCTTGGGGAAATTATAGCCACTTGTCGCTCTTCTGTTGACATTTTTCAACAACGATGTTCGGTATGTTTTGTACACTAAATGTTCGGTATAGCGGTGTTCGGTATAGCGACGTTCCATTGTATATAATTTGAACTGGCATGTACGCTATATATCATTCTGTATTACACTGGTTTTTTTTTTACATTTGCATGGGTTGCAAGTCTAGATATGGTGTTCATGGACCATCACAAAGGTTAACGTAAATATGGTTAAATACTGCCCCTGACAAATTTTCCTTAATAAATTTAGCATTCAAATTACATTCTCCAAAGACCGGTATTAGATTCAAATGCCAAACGCATTTGAAGCATTTTGCTTTTCTAAAGTTCATGGGTTGTCAAGTTGATTTTGAAGGAACTACAGAAGCCGTCATTTTCAGTTGCATTGTTCGTTGATGTTAGGCTGTATTTAAAAGATTAAAAAAAGAAATTGGAATTCTTTTGATTTTGAAGTTTTTGATGTGGATTGAATGTGAAATCGTTTTTAAGTTTTAGGATACAGTTATTAAACCAGATTGGTAACATTCACTTTGTGGCGGGTGTGTTGTGCAGTTAGTTGTTGAATATCTTCTCTTGAGATATGTGAAGTTCAATATTAGGTTTTGCCCTTCACTGACGTATTTCACTCAGGAGGTAACAAGCTACTGTGTACTCGGTGTGTTACCTCCCGAGTAAAAGTTGGAAAAATCACTTGGGTAGGACTCGAACTCAAGACATCCTGCTTTCTAGTGCAGACTTCTAATACCATCAACCACCGAGCTTACGGGATTCGTTGGCTGGTTCGAATCTGATGAACATAGCAGCTGGTACTGCATTTATGTGTAGTCCTGTTCACTAGTAGTCCGAGTATCACCCGTTATCCATGGAGCCTAGTCTCCTGTATAACGTCTGATTTGTCAAAGCATGCAGATTTATGCGATCTCGCGCCTCGGCCAATCGGAGTCGACGTTACTAAATCGTAATGTCATTTCTTTCCCAAATCAGGACTAATGGTTTGATTGGTCAATTCGAATGCAGTGTTTTGTAATGCAACAACAATCCCGCGCATACGTGGTGCGTAACATAATACAATGTAGCGTGTGACCAATGCCTTTGTTGCTGTGTCTAGCGGGGTTATTTTTATCCATGTCGAGACGCGACAAAGGTGAATGACCGAAGACCCGACATAGAAAGCGCCTGCTGATTGGTCAAAATCTAGAGGTCAAAATGCGGCTGTCTTGCCTAATTAATCATCGAATCTGTTCATATGTAACGGATGGTGGCTTACACCCGGTTCAAACTGGCCATTGAACCAATAAAGTACATGTACTAAGAATCTATTTGACCCAAAATAGACTTGAGTTTTTAGGCAGACCAACTTCGTGCAATTGTGTTCCTTTGACTTGACCGACGTCTGAAATCAAGTAGTTCTTGACTCGTGATTAGCTAGGGTCAGGGGCTCAACTCCAGCTGCTGGCCAGTTGTGGTGTCCTCTCCACCCAGGCGTATTCACCTTATTAACGAGGTAGCCATTTTCGATCGTGTTCCCTGAATGTATTTTATAAATTGTAAACTGTTGCATGGGATGGTGCCAGACTATTTTTGCGTTCCAAGCCTCACTGTTAATTTTTTTTTTAATTGTGGCTTAAAACATTAGGGTATGTTTAATCACAAATTTTTGATTATTCATCAGAGCAGACTGGTATTAATATGTAATTAACTTTATGTCATTACTTTCGTTTCTGTTCCCAAGTTCCAAAAATGACGATTTTCCCTTGTTTTCAATTAAATATGGTCGACTTGTGAATGAAGCCTATAAACGAGAACTGGCATTAGCTGGGGTAAACCTGCACTGGACTGGCATCCCATCTAGTAGGAAAAGAAATATTTTGGTATTTAATAAGGGAATAAATGTGTGTTTGGGAGGTATTATAACACTCTGTTTAAGACCGGTTTGAGTCTGGATGGGCGATAATTACCCGAGGCGAAGCCGAGGGTAATTATCGCCCATCCAGACTCAAACCGGTCTTAAACAGAGTGTTTAATACCGACCGAACACACATTTATTCTCATTGATAAATACCTTTTCGGTCCAAAATAAAAAAAAAAATGTCAAAAACTAGACGTTGCCAACCACTTTGTTCAACAATTTTACATCATGTTTTATGAAACACCCCTCTGACTATAATATGGAATGCCCCTCCACAACTCGTTACCTAATAGGGACATTGCCGTGCGCGTCGCGCGTACTGCGTGATGTTGCGCAAAACGCAGCTGGGCTGGTGAAGTGTGACTTTTGGACCATGAAATACTGATTCACTGGTAGTACATTGCGCATGCATACGGGAGGAATTTGAACGTTCAGCCAATGAAACGTTAAAAGGCACCGGATTTCATAGGACTATAGGAGTCCAAATTTCATGTGACACTGGAAAAGCGTTTAAGACCAGCTAGCCATGTCTTTATCATCCGTTTAAGACCGGCCACGTGACGGGTTCTCGACCAATAGGAATGCGTAAACCGTCTGAGGTATTTATGAATGCCACTGCAAGTGCAGATAAATGCCGGCCTGGTGGGCCCTAATGCCTTGTGATTACTTTTTACACCCACACCAGATGAGTCCCTGTATTAGATGTACTCGGGTTACGTCTTAGCTATTAGAAGAGCCCCCCCCCCCCCCCCCAAAAAAAGAGATATTTTACTAAGGGAATACATACTGTGCTTGGCTGGTTTAAACAAGTACATTTAAAACCATCTCCAATGGTGTCCATTAATCAGAGTTGTAATGACTCGAGTCAATGACTCGACTGGAGTCCCTAAGGGCAAATGACTCGACTTGACTCAAGTCACTGCGAGCAAATGACTCGACTCGAGTCCCTCATCAGAATGACTCGACTCGAGGAAGGCTAATATGACGAGTCCCAAAAATAAAAGCAAAACTTTGCGAAAAATATTTGCAATGACTTACGCCGGTGCCTGTTTTTGTTCACGTCACGTTAGAATGTTCGCAAATAATGTATACATATACATACGTGGTTTGATCAGTGTCCCCATTAGTTGAATGGCGATCAGCCTGCATCCCCTTTTTATTTTCATAAAGAGTCAAATGTGGTGTCGCCACATGTAGTAGCCTGAATGTAAAATTTCAAAAGCCAAAAAATGACTTTCTCTTCGAATTGACTCGAGCTAAATACGTGACTCGACTTGACTACACTCTGTGACTCGACTCGACTCGACCTTCTTCACCTCATGACTCGACTCGAGTCACTTCTTTAAAATGACTCGACTTGACTCGAATAACAAAAATCAGTGACTCGTTACAACTCTGCCATTAATTCTGCTTGACTCTGTACAAAAATGTATAGAGCGAGACAGTATATGGAGTTAATATGGCACCCTCATGAAATGCCAAGATCCGCTTTGAAATTAATTGCGCCTTTTATTTCAGTCTAAATAATTCCTTACAATTATTTCCTTACATTGTTCTCACTCTGCATTAATTTCATTAACACAATACAAAAGAGGACCGACACATACATGTACTTGTAACTCAACAGGTCATTTTTATTGTCATAAATCTATATTTCGTATCCAAAAATCGCAAGTCAATCTATGTGGAAGTTAGGACACGGGGTTTCTGTTCAAATTAATTTTAACAAATTATGGGAATCAATCTATTTGTGTAAACGGAATTTCATCAAAAGCCATGACTTTTCCAACTACATGCAAACTGTGAAGTTATTTTTATTCTATTCTTTTTTAGAATTGTATGATTTTTTCAATGCAAGCGTTCTCTTGTTTCGAAAAGTGGAACTAACGTGAGGAACTGTTGGTTCAAAAGTTGGAATTGTTGGAACAAAAATCACTTTTCATTGGGACTGACGCCCAATTAAACAAAATTAATGTTCTGACAAACATTTAAAATGGCGTAGTGATTCATATTCCTATCTACTAAGCCCGATTTCATTTTTCATCCAACTGTATAACACTTTCTAAGAAAACACTGGCTGGCCTGTCACTCAGTTTCAGAAAAACACACCAAATTCAAGCCTTGGATAAACGTCTCTCCGTTGTTAACCTCCAGAAAGCTAAAATCTGCAGCAAACACGAAGAGAAAAAAAAAATTATTACAAGTTAGAATTGCGGTGGATATTTAGTCGCCTTAATTTTCAGGGCCTTTTTTTTTCAGCCACGAACCTTCAACAATTCTCAGAAATCTCCCAATGTGGGAACAAAAATGGCTCATTCTTTGGCCATAAACTTTCAAAATACTTTGAGGATACAGCACTGTGTCCCTGGTTTGATCGGGCAATGTTCCTGTTTTGGGGGCGCATTTCTTTCTTCCTTTAGGGGGTATTTGGAAGCAACAAATTTGCTCAAAATCTCAAGCACGGTGCATAACACTTAACCTGTTTTTCAGTTTTACCTCGGAGGCTACCAGTGTTGTAGTACTCGTACTCGGTACTCGTAGTACTCGAGTACTTTTTTTGGAGTACTCGTACTCGTACTCGAATGTCGAAGAACTCGTACTCGAAATGAAGGTACTCGTACTCGGGCAGCAAAGTACTCGTACTCGACATGTCGAAATTGTACTCGATCATTAAAGTACTCGTACTCGAATAGCAGTACTGGGGGGGAAAATGGTATAGCTTGACTTTATATACCACTGCCTTATTTTATCAATACTTTCAGTTTGAAATGGTTGATTGGCTTGTGGAGAAATCTGATTTTCCTCTGTGCACGTCCGGACAAACACATTTAAGGGCTTGCCATGATGGTCTGTATATCGGTCTGACTGGGCCTGGGCCGCAATTACGCACAATGAACCATGTGCCCGTTGGCCGTATTCGGAAATATAAGTACTCGTACTCGGAAGTACAGTACTCGTACTCGGAAGTACAGTACTCGTACTCGGAAGTACAAGTACTCGCACTCGGCGACCTGTTCTTGTACTCGGAGGTACAAGTACTCATACTCGGCAACCTAAGTACTCGGTACTCGGAAAAAGTACTCGACTACAACACTGGTGGCTACTAAACGTTTTGAAAAAACGTGAACATTTTTGGGGGTTCTGGTATTAACTGAAATCCACTGCCAACCTTCAACTTCATAGTTTCTTTCAATTGTTTTCTTTCTAAACCATTTCGGGCGGAAAGATTTCGCAGGGTATTTGGACCAGACTACTGTTCACTTTGACAAAGGCTTTACTCATTACATTGGTAGGTACGTTTTGGGTAAATTAGCTATGATCCTACATGCTTTGAACAAACGCAGTGAAGTTTATTCTGGTCTATGGGGCTCTCTGATAAAACACTGTTATGCTCACCACATTTTATACACTAGAAGACCGGATGCTAGCCTCTTTATTTGCCAGCAATGGCTTGGTCCATAGCTTCGTGTGCATCTATGGCTATTTGGGCCTCTGCTCTGGCTAGGTCTGTGCTGGCAGCGGCTAGTTCTTGTTGGGCCTTGGACAAGCCTTCTTTAACTGCCTGCATTTTTTCCCAAGACAAAAAGAGGAGATTGTCAATTTCATCTCAAATTTTGTACAAATTACTTGAAAATACTGATGGAAATATGACACAGATATTTTTACATTAAAGCCCGAGTCCATCATTTGCAGCTATCCAAAAAAGTAACTGGCGTAATTATTGTTGAAAAACATACTGGTTGAAAGATAGTAAGGGGACTAAACTCCCTGTGAAATTATCCTTTCTGGCAAGCTCTCATTTTGAAGAAATCAAGGTAAGAAGGCATTTCCAAAGGTGCGTCTTAAGAAGCACCGTAGGAAAATTTAAATTAGTAGTTCGTTTTGTTATTCGGCGCAGCGCGCACAAGCATTGGAACGACACACAGGCGCGCGCGGTTGCTATAATTCGTCGGATCAGTGCGCGACATCGCGTAAAGCTGCAATTCAAAACAATTCAAAACATGATTTAGCAACTTTTGATTTGAAATTGAGATCCTAGAATGCTGTTTTTCTCGGAATATAAAGCTGAAGCCGAGCTGAAACTTCATCGAGTAAGTTGTTCAGTATCTTTCATTAGATTTTGAACACTTTTGTTACTTCAAAGGAACAAAATGCACTTATTACAAATGATGGACTATAGCTTTAACCCAAACTCTACTAAATGCAACAGACTGCAACTCTCATAAAAAGATGTTGCATATTAAGTTGCATACTATTGTACTTTAGCAGTCAACTCAAGTTGGTTCGCCCACAGTACTGCCAAGATGCCCAGGCTTTGTTGCATTTAAGCAGGTTAATTGCTCATAGTGCCAAGGCTGGTACGACAGAATTCACTACTGCGTTTTGTTTTATACGAGTTCTGTTTCTACCCCGAGGAATGTTTTCCTAGGTGAGTTTTCAAATAAAAACAAATGAGGGGAGTCAGGTTGGCCTAGCAGTTCTTTCCTCGCCTTCCACTGCTGTGACCCGGGTTCGAATCCCGCCTGGGCCAATATGTGGATTGGGTTTCCAGTCCCTACCTGATTCCGTGGGTTTCCCCCAGAATATTCCTCTGGGCTTTTCCTCCCACCTCTAAAACTGTAATTTCTTCTCATTGTTTCTCTCCACAGGTTTCTTCAGGCTTGCGAGCTACAGTGCCTAGGGCGCTTTTGAGGAATCCTGGGTTTCATTACTAGAAATTATTAATAATAATAAAACACGACACTACATGTATAGGCCTTTCACATTATTGTGTGTTAAAACCTAGACATTAGCCCTTTTGCACTTTTATTCCATTGTACTTCACTGTATTTACTCCTTGATGTATCCATAAAACAACAGAATGCTTGGGTGGGGTGGGGTGGGGGAGGGGAATGGGTTGGGGTGGTATAAGGAGTAACAGGTAGCGCGCTATGGGCCTTGGGGTCTAACGGATTAACTTACTGCAGGATCTAGTTTGTCAACAGGTACGGCCATCTCTGCTAGGATCTGCACTGATGAATCGTCATTGACTGTCACGGAACCACTGCTCACTGCAATAACAAATATATATGAAATAACTTCTTCCAAAGACAGCAAAACTGTACCAGGATTTTATACCAGGACTTTTCTAGATTTTCTGAAGTAGAAAGCTTGGTGTAGAAAAGTGTTTGGCCAAGTCGTTTTCCACAAGTTTCAAGCACAAGCCAACGTACAGCCCCAGATGCATCTGCGTCTCGAGAAGAGACAAACTTGTAGTGTGATCAACAGTTACTACATGTGACTTTGGGTATGCTTGTTGAAACTGGTGGATTTGCATATAGTATCACACTCAGACTGGGACATTGAGTGCAGAAAAACATGCAAAACAAATTCAGGCAAAGACAAGGTAGTTAGTATACCACCACCCAAGTTTGAAGTCTCAATTCATTTTTTTAAAGGAGACTTTTCTCCCGAGAGCGAAGCCAAGTGATTTCAATTTGAAACTTAAGACTAGACTGGTACATGTCCAGCTGTTTGAAAAGAATGACCCTTCAGCGGTCTGGTTGCAGACCATGGAGAGACGTGTAGAAACAGAGACTGCTTACCAGATGTCTCTTTTGACAAAGTTAACTGATGCAGTACTAAAGGGGTGTTGGACTGGTTGTTTCATGTGGCAGTCTATTTTCTTGTGTTACATGTTTTCAGTACTATAAGTTTTGGGACTTAAATACACCGAAATGGGTTAAGGTCATTGGTCGATCCAACAAGAAATCTCAGACTTTACCTCCCTTTTTAAAACAATCCTCCAGAGCTTTAACTTGGAAAGACACGATGATCGACTAACGGCACTATGAGTATGACTGACCAATGGCGGCATGATTGATCGATAGCGCAGCGTAATTGGACGGTGGCGCAGCACGATCAACCGATAGAGCAGTGCGATCGGGATCAGGCGATAGTGTAGTAGAATCAACCAATAGTGCCATGCAATCCATCGATAGCGCAGCGCGATTGGGCGGTAGCACAGCTGGGTCGGGCGGTAGTGCAGCGCAATTGGCCAGTAGTGCAGACCTGCTGATCACGCCTAACAGGTATACTGCGTATTTTATTTACCAAAAAATTTATTGACGGAGCCGTCATGCTCCAGTACGCTGAGGACGCCAGGTTTTAAGACAGCCAGTGAGGGGACGTGCTGGGCAAGAATGCCAAAGGTTCCGGTGCCCGAGGGTACATCCACCTGCTTCACGTCAGCATCACTGTAAAACATCTGTTGAGAAAACCAACAATCGTCAAGTTAAGCTGATACATGCTGCTGTTCACTGGTGTAGTTTTTGTCATGCAGTTTGTTTACTTGATCCTCATTCAACATTCACTCTGCACATTCTAAGCCGATGATGTCATCAAACTGGAAGTAAATAAATTATTAATAATTTCAATATACAAACATGATTGTAATGTAGTCCTAGGCCTACAAATTAAATATCAAAGCAAAAAATAACATTGTACCAACATGATCCTAGGACTACATTTTTTTGAGAACGAAGCATCAATATCCATATTATTATTAATTTCCTCACAAAGGAAGGGAGGGCGCACTTGTGACGGGGCACTGGAGCCAAGGAGGCACGGAGCCTTGGAGTCGCGTGCCGGTAGAGGGCGCAATTCTCGGAGGTAGGCCCCCTAGGTGGACTGCGGCTCCACGCAGCCATACGGAGGCGCGGATATAGAGTGGAGTGGCCCTGTGTTTTATAGTTGTGCCCCATCTTGAAGTTTAATGAGTCTTTCTTGCTCACTTAGTGACTTACCACTTCCATTATTTAATAGACTGTCGGAAATAAATGCCTTTACCATTTATACTGCACTTAACATGCTTAACACATTTTCATTTACCTGTCCCGGCATGCCAAATGTAAATGACATTTGCGTCGCCGCTACTGGTTTAGCTGCATCCTCTGCATAGAATCTAACCGGCTGTGGTACTCTGAGTCTACTTTGGCATGTCCTTACGGAGCCAGATAACCTAAGAATGTTCCTTAGCATAGACATTTTGAAGAGTGTTTTCCACAAGTTTTAGCAACAGAATTAATCAACGCCGGTAGAAGGGGGCTAACCTTATCTCAAGTCGTCGCGCTTACTTAACGAGTCCGCGACCGCGGACCGTTGAAGAATAACAGCGCCCTCTATAAATTTTACCTTAAGTTAGGGAGGATGGGGGGGGGGGGGGTTAGGAGAGGGAGGAACGGGGACCCTTTAAGGTTTTCCGTATCTTAACTAGAAACTTGTTGTTGGGAAGTGGAATTTTCCCAAGAAACCTTTCTGAATTTTCTATGGAAATAAGTTCAATTGCCCTTGAAATCCCATCTGTTTTCCTTCCTCTATGCCGGATCCAGAACACATTTCTTTGGGGGGGAAAACATTTGTTTGTTCCCCGAAAAAGTGGGTCCAAAATGTGTCCATGTATTGCTTTTGAGTTTTGTGGGTGGTGTACGCAGTGGTTGCTCTTTTTGGGGTCCCTGGTTCGTCTTTTTTTTGGGGGGGGGGGGGTGTCATGGCCCCGTTGCCTCCCTCCCACCCCCCCCCCCTCCCCGGATCCGCCGTTGCAGAAATGCCGCGACGTTTTTCAATACAGAGGACGGAGAGTTTTCTTGAAAAGTTGGGGTACGACATGCATGTTCGGTATATACAGGGACATTGGAAACATCACCCGTAGCCAGGGGGCGCGGGCAATAATAGTTGCTTGTACTTTGTAGGCCAGGGCATGGAGGAATAAGAATCATCCATGGCCAGAGGAACTCAGCACACAGCAAAAAGCTGGCATCGATAAGCATCACTGCGCAACTTTGCACATGCGTTTACCAAAATTTGGCTTCCGTAAAGATCAGCAGACCTGATATTTGAGACCAGGGGCGTAAATCCGGGGGGGGGGTGGAAGTTATACCCCCACTCCCTCTTTTTGACCAGGGGATGGGCTATTGAATCCCCCCCCCCCCCACACACACACACACACACGGAAACACTTTTCCGTGATGAGAAAAAAAATTGCGGAATTCGAGGTATTTATCGAACATCCAAACCACCAAAATGTATTCAATAGCACTGAAAGGTGGAGAAACAAAGTACAAAAGCTTTTTTTGAAGTAAGCGCGAATATACATATTGATATATATATATATCCTGATAGAGGACCCCCTAGTGTAATGTGGTGTCCAGCCCCCCCCCCCCCCCCCCCCCCCGCTTTGCGAATTTCCACGGCCTGACAATAATTGGATTTTGATCATCCCTATCCCCCCTCCCCCCCCCCCCCCCCCCCCCCCACTCGCCGGCACATATTTACGCCACTGATTGAAACCGTTACACCGGCAAATAAGGCCATCCAGCTCCCACATCACCTCTCTTCCCAAAACCATGCGACTGCCCCCTTCACAAAATAAAGCTCCTTCTCCAAGTTCCCCGTACATTACTGTTTTCTGCACAGATGATAAATCTTTATCTCGTCTCTGCGGAGACCCTTCTCATGGTTAGGCATAATGACAGTATATGAGGCCCCTCGTGCCACAATTTAATCAGTGCCTCGATAGACTATATGTTGGAGGAAAAAAAAACTCCGTCGGTAATTTCCTCCATTGTCCCATAAGACTTGCCCAGGTTCTTTGCGTAGGTGGTCCACCGTGCGTGCACTTTCGCCGGTTTAGTGACCGACTTATTATCTCATCCATTTGCAAATACCGTCTGTCAAATTTGGCTTTCCCGGATTAACTAATTCGTATAATAAATTATTGATAAAGAAAATGAGGGTTCCTAAAAAATACAAAGGCCATTATAGCGTTCCAAATTCTAGTCCATTCTGCAGACATCGTCTGTACAATGGACCGGATGAAGCATTAATGCTTATTGGGTAATCCCATTAGATAGTACTGCCCAGCTAGCTCACAACTTCACATGTTAAGCCTCGTTATTTTAATTGGGAACCCAGTTGCTTTTGCTCCTAGATTCGTAAGCAGGTAGGAGCTTGTTCCATCCATGCATAATATGGAAATAAAATTCTGGGGGTGGGGGGGGGGGAGAGATCCCAGCCAATATAGTTTTGGATCATCAATCGTTCTTAAAGGGAAGATACAACATTTGAAAACATCGATCAAAAAACGCAATGACCAAATTATCACGAGATATCTTACTGGATTGTTAGGGAATGACAGTCTAAAGCATCCTGTAAAGTCGCGGCTCCTGGTGTGCTGACATTTAAAAAAAAAAAAAAGCCCTGTATTTTTTGGAGAATTAGTGTGCTGTAGATTAGTATGCTGGCGAAAACTGGCTTTTTTTTCAAAAAGTGCTCCTAATTTTTCATATTTAGTTCGTCTGCATTTTCTTTCAATTAATTACACACCTGCGAAGACTACAAGCCTGCTAGACCGATTCTCTGATCTTACAATTCCCCAAAGTCTATAAATTGCTCCGTTTCATCATAAGTGGGGTCAGGGAACCAGACTACAAGAATATGATTGATTTTCTTGGTTTTTCCAGCATCTACGAACCAAAAACTTGAAACAAGTCAGGGTAACAATATTTGCTACAGCATACTAATCCTCCAAATCCATTTATTTCTGAATATTGCAGCAAAAGCAAATGTTGTACATTCCCTTTAATTTACAACTATTTTGTATCGCCACGAGGTGATGTATTTAAAAAGATAACAGATTAGTAACGATTACATGAAATTATTTCATTTCTCTCCAACTTTTCGGGGTAAAAGTGAATTAAACTGCTTCAATTAAACTTCTACCTGCCTGACTGGATCGACCTGAAATATGAAATCAAAACATAGAAGGCCTTCTTCAGGCGAACAAGAAACAAGCACACTTTTACGGTACATACCTATAGTGTGGACATTCCTTTGATTTCGTGTAGTTAAGAAAATTAAACCCTTGAAGAAAAAAAAAACGCATTTTACTCTCACTGTGAAAACTCTTTCAACCTCTGATTCCCTTGAGTGTTTCTCTTCATTTTGCCACCGATAACCTAACCCCAAAATGCCTCTAAACCTGTTTTCCAGAGAGGGGGAACCTTGTGTGGACGTGGGCAAGTCCACACAACGTCGCTGCTACCAGTGTGGACATCTTTTGTTCGGAAGTCCACACAGTGAATGTAATGCTTGTACATGTACACTGTGGACACACAAGCATGCAGGGTTGGAAGGAGAACCGTGAACACAAGTACGCGGAATTGGGGGGCGGGGGGGGGGGGGAGACCAGAGTGGGTGAAGACCAATATTAGGAAACATGTATACCACCGCACACTGCTTTGCTCCCGTATCCCATTTGATCCTCCCATCTTGCAACCCTGCAAAAATGCACTATGCATGTGTGTCCCCATTATGTTTGTGTCGTGTTCGTCTGTCATTTGTCTCGGAGGAAGGCACTGGTAAGGCAAATATCAGGCCATTTTTATCTGTTTGACTTTTTGTGGTGTAATTCGAATTAAAACTGACGGGTCATAATGTACAGGAATAATGTACTGTCTTGTTAGTACAATGTCTTATTGAATGAAATTAGGGTCTACAACGGGAGTGAAAAATACTTGTAATTGCAGATTTAAATACTTTGAAAAAAAGAATCAAGACAAAAGGCGAGGGAGAAAACTCGATCTATTCGATTGAATGAATTTAAGTCTAAAACGTTTAATCCCTTTTAGTTTTGGTCTGATTTGGATTGTGTTTCGCTTTTGCATAATTATGTTTCGGAATCCATTCCGGATCAGTCCGCATTTTTGTTTTTATCGCCCAATCACTTTTCCCTTCTCTCTTTCCACCTAGCTAAGGGAACCGGCCGGCATAGTGCAAGTTACGTGGTAAAGGGCGGATCCGGCCGTCTCTGGTACAAAAGTGGATAATAAAACGGGACAATCACAGAATTAAGTTGTGTGAAATTGTCGGAAATGTGGACCTTTGGAGGGGTGCCAAGGCAGGCTCCGCCCCATTGCCTACCGGCCGTCAACATTGGGTGCTTGACGTATTAGTTTTGCGGCAATTTGTTCTTCTTTCATAGAACTAGAGACATGATGGTTAGTTCCATCACACTTGTACTTCTGTTGGTGAACTTTGCACCGATTCAATAACCGTCAATCGGTTTGCTCTATATAATGACAGTTAGTAGCCGCAAAGCGGGAGCGACTGAAGTGCCAGACTAATTCATTTGCCACATCCCGAGTAGTGCACATGCGCTATTGTGTCATCTAGTATGGCGGCGACCATGTATCCGAGACGCAGTGGCAGGCGTCCAAAAGGTAAGGCCCATTTCTTGCGAGTTTTAGCTCGAAAGTTGTGATTATTTTGGGAGAGTTTGATGAAGGGATCAATGATGACTTGACTGTTTCTTTCCAGGTCGCCATGATAGCGGAGACGCGGATGTGCCACTTGATTTAGACAAAGGTAGGCTTTCGTTGTGGATTTTCTTGTGAAGTTGTGATGTGACGGCGTCATGCACTGTCATCTCATTTTCAATGCACTGAAATGTCAGCCGCATAAACCTTGGCCGGTGTTGAATGACAGCCATTGACGTATGCAATAACAACCGATTCATCATCCTGCACATAGCTAGCACTAAGTAACACACTTGTCATCAATGCCTCAATCATAAATGTGACATCCAGACACAAGCAAGATTATGTTGAATTTTGAACATGTTTTGATGATGATAATGATTAAAGCCCTAGGAAGATAATGATGATGATCATCATGAATCAACATCCCTACTCAACAGTATACCATGGAGCATGAGTATCTTCAGAAAAAAAAATTCCATACTGGGCCACTACTCATATTCCTGACCTTAATATGACCTGAAAAGTACCAAAAGTTCTAAATCTAATGAAGAAACACTGTTTAACTATTCTTTGAAAATGTTCTGTCATGGCCCATAGACTTTGTGCAGGAGTCTGAGTGGTGGCCCAGTATGGATTTTTTTCCATATCTTCCTCCATGAGTATACGATGTTAGCAGTGATGATATTGACAGACATAACAGAAACGAATGTGATGGAATATGATTTATATTAATTTAAACGCACAAGTGTTTTTGAGAAATGTTTTCAAAGGAGTGTGTTACTGGAATCACGACTAGCACTCTAATTAGCACCAAAAAAGCTCAATTTTTCAGAGTCAAATTTGTGAACCCCCACCAAATTCGTTCTCGCACGCCATCGCAATAATAACGCAAAAACCCTCAGTTTTTAATGGATGGTTTTGTGGATGTTTATAAATCCTACTTTTAAATGCTCTTTCCAATAAACGTCATTTCCTTTAAATGCATTTTTAGCCCAATTGGGCTAATTCCAGGACGTCCCTTTAATCAATGATGGTTTTGACCAATGATAGCAATTACCATGAGCAGCGATCTTGAGGGGGGGGGGGGGGGGGACTGGGGGGATGTTCCCCAACCCCCAATATTTTTTTGGGCGGGGATACTAACTGCTATTTCATGAAGCATAATGTCTTGATATACTGTGTTATAAAAACTCAGGCCCCCCCTCCCTATCTGATTTCTGGGTTCCACCCCTGAAAAGGGTCACTTGAGGACATTTACACGTAAATCCCTTCAGAATATTTACACTCGCCCTGCAGAACCAAACAAAATCAATTGCCAAGGAAACATCTGAGCCTGCTGAATCGGAATCCACCATTTAAAACATAACTTGTCTTTTTTATTCCTCTGATCTAGAATTAAATTTCAGCAGACTTTGCCCTTGGTTTGATATTTTTGGCTTAATCATAGTCTTCTGGGTTATATACATCACTGTTTACAATTTAAAGACAACATCAAAGTCAGTTAAAAGTAGATACATTTTTTTTATACCAACTGCCCACTTTCAAGACTCAGTTTGTAAAACTTAAAATCTGGTATTTTTTCTCTTCAATTCTTTGTTCAAAGAGATTAGTTATGAAAACAGTTCAACTCTAGGTCACATGTACAAGCATTGTACATGTACGTACCACGCTTTACTGGTAGTTTACACCTGTGATAAGATATAAATGGGAACAACACAAGATCACTTTGAAACAGTTTGCATTTGATGAAAAATAAACATGTTTAGCGTCCTGCTTTTAAAAAAAAAAATTGAATGAGGAGGCCCCTTTTTTTTCTTCCAAAATGGCCGCCCGACCGGGCAATTTTTGAAGATGGCCGCCAGCTTTTTTTAAAAATTGCCGCCACTCGGACTCAGGAATGACATACCAGCTTTATATATGGGCTAGATGCAACAGACAAAGCGGCCAGAATGATGCCACTGTTTAAAATTTATCATTTGTTTTTCGTGTTTAAAAAAAATGAAAAAAAAGTGGGAGGCGGCCTTTTTGTCCTTACCCTTCACTTTATGGATTGTCAGTTTGTACAGCACCTACCGCGGGGTACAATGTACTTAATGACTAGAATGATTTGCAGAGTATATTTCTTTAATTTCTCAATCTCTTTCTTAGCAGTTTTTTTTTGTTATCCTGACATACAGTAAGAAGATATAGGATAATAGGAAGTAATAAATGAATGCTTTACCATGTTTGCAGTGGGGTAGGGGGGGTAGACTCTAAAGAGATGACAGGGGGGTCATTCCATGTCAAATCAACACGATTTGTCACCTGACCCTCACAGATTGAAATATTTGGTGCAATGATTTGTCTATAAACCCCAGAACTGATTTTTTTTTTTAATTTGGCTTGTTAGTTTTATTTTGAGATACGGGTCAACAAACTTTGGACTAATTAGCATGACCTCTGAACTTTAAATACTTGTGCCGCCCAAAAGTATAGCCCCTACAGTACCAAGTGTAATCATATAAGGCCCTTCGAATGGCCTCCGTTTCATAAAATAAAACCGAAATCGAAGGCTAAAGCGTTATTATATTTTATGATATGAGCAATAATCTTGGAAAACAACTGTTCTCTCAGCTGTTTTTTGTCTTACAGCAAGCCGAAATCCTGTCATCGTCTTTGATGCGCGGAAAAATGTGCTGTCCATTATTGTCCAAAAGGAAGAGATTAATTTGTAGCACCGTGACAAGATTGTGATGTTCCCTTACCAACCGTTGTGGAAATAACAAATTAATGACTGCGCTTCATTAGCCAAGCAACTCAATTGCGAGGCTCCGTGTGCTGGGTGGCTGTTACGTCCTCTGGTTGATAGTTGTAAAATTTAGAAGCTACCTCAAAAATTTAAGTTCCGGCTTTGTGAGTGATAGGTAAAACTTCTCATTCCAACTCCCAAATCAGACGCCACCAACCAATTTGGAAGCAATCTTTCCCATTTAAATAATTTTTAATTGAGTATCCAGAATTTTAATATTGATTAGGGGTGTGCATTTAGCACACAGGAACCTGGTACCGGTACCCAATTAATAGAACACAGGTAGCCAGGTACCGGTACATGGGCGTCGCCAGGATTTTTTCTAGAGGGGGGCAAAACATATTTTTTCCCAAAATATTGTAGTATTTCTCAACATATTCTTGATTATCAGTTTTAGAGGGGGGCAGGGACATTTTGCCCCCCCCCCCAACCCATTAAATTTACACCAATATGACTTCGTGTCTCTTTTTCTTTTCTTTTTTTCTCTTTTTTTCTTCCTTAGAACAGTAAAAAAAAATCTGCATGAAGTTGATTCTTTGATGAGAAATTTAGCCTGAAGTCTCTTGAGTTTCTTGAAATTGAGATTTTCAATTTGCAACTTCCGTCATTCCACGTTTTATTTTGCCCTTTACCTAAGATGGAAAATATTAATTTGGTGATGTTGCACAACAAAGCAGCATTTCTTTGAAGGTGAATCGAGCAATTATCATTTTTTTTAATAATTTTTTTTGTTTCTTCAGAAGATTGGATTGATAGGCCTATTCATATCATTTTGGTTTCGGGTGATTCACAATGCTTTGTGCCACCAAGAGTTTGCCATGGAGAGTCCATATTTCAAGTTTACGGTCGACAACACTCTTCCCATTTGAACGAGTATCAGTAGACAACTTGAGTTAATTTGTTAAGGATTGGGACAGAATGTACATGTATTACAATTTAGCGTTCTGCCGCCTTGCAAAAAAACACCATATTGATAAAAAGAACAGAAAAGGGGCACTCAGATACTCGAATCATACACTTACGAAACTACTGACCAGAAAAACTAACAATATAAAATGTCCCGCACTTGCGAATTTGTCGACCGTCTCCCACAATGCACTGGGAAAAATGAACTTTCCATGGCAAACTCTTGGTGGCACACTGCATTGTGAATAGCCCGAATTGACAGTACACCCATTTAGAGCTCGCACCGTATAAACTACATGAATGAATCAAATTAAATTCACACGAACCATCTTCGTGCAGTTTGTGGATGGAAGTTAGCAAATGTTAAGCAAATTTTATGTGCTGGGCAACAAAATATCCGCTCCGTTCACAAGTACCCCCTCACCAGCAAAGAAAGTACAGTTGGGGGTGACCGACCGACGCCATCTTGCCTGACTGCAATTTTGCCGCAACGCGCGGCCACCACTAGCACTGCGTGTACGTAGCACAACTGAATCCCCTGGTGTACGTGCGTCACACACAAGGAACGGTGCGCGTCAACCAGCGAAATGTCCCGCCCATGGGACGTCGTTGCTATGTAAAAGGGCGCCCTCTTCTGTTGGCGCACAGAGCCCATAGACTAGATTGCTTCACATTTGGACTGGTGACCAAATTATTTTCCGTTCTAATTTCTTGTAAAAAAATTTCTTTGTTTAAGCCACTCTGTGAAATTGGTCCTATTTGACTGACTGACTGTTATTTGTGACTTTCATGCAGACTGGTTATAGTCTGGTGAAGCTAGCTGGGCAGTGCTCTTGTATAGGATTACCCCATAACCCCAATGAATGGCTAAATCGAACCCCTTGTGTAGACCGGATAGGCATGTATACAACCTTCCAGTGAATAGCCATTCTAAATCAATTAACCCTAACGTACATGTACCTGAATCCATCAAAATCCACACCCCTGTTTCGGGGGATTTCGGCGGATTCAGGATACCTCCATATTGAAAAAGTTGGGGGATTTTGATGGATTCAGGACATGAAGCCTAGCGGTACTGCAGGATATTGATGGATTCAGGATACCTCCATATTGAGCAGTTGGTTGGGGGACTTTGATCAGGATTCAGGATTCAACAGATTTACTCCCGACTAAACTGGTGGATTCTGATGGACTCACTGGCCAACAATTTTTTTTTTTTGCATGGCAAAATTGATGGATTTTGGTGGATTCAGGATACTTTCTGGTAATTATACCCAAGGGGTTAGGGTTCTAAAGTAATCACAATAATAATAAAAATAATAACTATTTATATAGCGCTTTTTGCCAGAGGATACAAAGCGCTGGGGGAGAATGCAACCAAAGACAGGTAAATGAAGTATATGAACGTATGA